TTTCTGGACATAGGTCAGGCCTTTGACAAGGTCTGGCACGAAGGGTTGTGCTGCAAACTAAAGAAATACTTACCTCATCCATTCCACGAACTATTACGTTTATGCCTCTCAGACAGACACTTCCTAGTCAAGCACCAAGATGCATATTCAGACTTATACGCCATAAATTCTGGAGTACCACAGGGAAGTGTTTTGGGGCCCATACTCTACCTGCTCTTTACCAGATTGACGACAGTCGCAACATTTATTAAACATTCGCATTCATATACGCACAAACAAAGTTAAAACAAGAACCAAGTTTAGGAGACCCTCCCGTGCCTGGCCAGTTGTTCGGCCGGTTGCTCTCTTTGCCCATGATCTAAATAGGCGTGCTAAGTCGTCCATTACCTGGGCAGGGCCATAACATGGACATTCCCGAGCTAGACATACGCACGACAACGTAAGGAGATAGTCTCGAGGTGGCGGTTTGGCTTTATTCGAGAGGCATTCATTAAGGAAAAAAGGTCTTCCTGAAGGGAAGCCCAAAAACCCCTTTTGCTTCGACCTTTAAGTTTGATACTGTCAGCCGTGGCGTTAACCGCCGGCAGTCTCAACCAGATGACCAAATCCATCCGCCCCCGCCCCGATCGGTGCAAGAACCAGCCAGCACCAACTAGAACGAGGCAGGACGAACCTGCCAAGTCACGTTATGTTGGACCTGTGCGTTTCTAGCCAGCTGGAAACGACTGCCTGCATCTGGCAGGCAATGTTTGTCGCCACGTACTGTCAGGGACAAAATCCTCATAATATATGGAAAGTCGCTTATACAGGGGACCATGGGTTCAGGACTGAGCCTTGCACTCCGCTATGATCAAATAGTCGGCTATATAGGCCATCCCTGTAGCTTCGTGCATTTCGGTTATTCTGGCGTATCTGTCAGCCGATAAGACGCCTCTCAGGAACCTATTTTGGGTCCGTTAAACACGCCGTCTCGTGGAAACCCAGACAGAGTGCCAGATAGGGGAGCCGTAAGTCAGTATGGGCCTTACGGTGGAGGTGTAGAGGAGAAGTTTGTTTTGAGGTGACAGAAATGAATTTGGCGCAAGAAGAGAGTACAACTTTCTTCGGGCCATGAAAGTCTTTTGTATAGCATAGTCAACATGCTTGTTGAAATGGAGTCGGGCGTCTAGTTTGAATCCCAGGTATTTCGCCTCTTTTACTGGCTTGATTGAAGTATTTTGGACCATGAGTGGCGATAGGATTTTATTGTTAGTGAATTTGCGCAAGAAGATAATAAGTTCAGTCTTCCTGGGACTCACTTTAAGTTTCCATTTGTCGAAATGTGCCATGTTACACCCTTCTAATTTGTTAGTTAGTCTACTTTCCAAGAGTGTTCGTGTGCTTTCGGATGCCAATGCAAAAAATATTTGAGTTTACCTCGAGTATTTCAGAAAGCATGGGTTCCGCCTTCTTATTTTCTATCACGCAACGCATTCTTGATTTTAAGACGATACAAATCTCTCTTCAGCTTATGGTTGCAAAATATGTAAAACTAATTTTTTAGGGCTTATTTTCAATGATTAATTGTGTTTACCACGCATAAAAATTATTTTTTTCTCTTCATGTACCCTTTGATTCCTTTATGATTAAACCTTTTCAATTCAGTTTAATTTTTTTAGTCTTGGATTAGTTCAGTAAGAATTTTTTTTAAACATAC